CTTGTTGCGATTTGTGCTGTTTTCTTACGATAATGATTACATATTTCCAACGACACTTTTACAAATGACTGACAGAATTCTGAATCTTAGAATCAAAGAGAGCGTAATTTCAGAGTTCAATCCAAAATTACTGGCTTTCTATTGTGTTCTAGTTACAGTGTTTTTCTACATGAATGCTTCGATTAGTTTTGTGTGGCTGGTACATCGTAAGATCTTATTTTTCGATTCATTTAGTCAATGAAAGTGGTTTTAATTGTCGTAGTAAATCAAGTTGAAAAGTCCAGCTGTATAACACTAATAATGCGGTAATTCTAAAAAAAAATCGTTTTCTTGGGAATTTTTAATGAAAAATTGATTAGTTAACCTACAAAAGTAAAGTAAAACGTGCGCGTTAACAATGTAATAGTTTAATTGTTATGAAATAATTTGTAGACATTAATAGTAAGTTAATTCTTTGTTTTCTCTTCTTGGTTCTCGAGCGTAAGCTGGATAATCGAAACTACTAAACTGATTGTTGTACAGGTGGCTCAAAAAAAATGTACTAAGTAAAGCAATTTATTCTATTGATCAGACATCAAGTATGTCTCATCCCATTTTCCTGAAAATTTAGAGATCCGCACATATATATTTAACTTATTAAAAAATTAAATTCCTAGTATCAAATTTTATAATTTTTCAAAGAAACAGGATTTGTTTTAATTAAGTAACTAACCATAGACCAATTTTTACTTCCCGAGTGTAATCTAAGGAAATATTGTAATAGGGTCCATCCGACTTTCATGTTTTCGGGACGTTTTTCCGTTTCCGTCTGTCTGTCTGTCTGTTCGTCTGTCTGCTGTCTGCTGTCTGCACGCCGTTTCTGTCGTTTTTTAATAGATAGGCAATTTGCGAAACTACGGAATTGATTGTTGGAAAATTTTATATGTGTTGTCACCCACACTGTAATGACGTCACTTTAAAATTTTGTTGAGTAAACACCGTTTCAATTTTATAAAATACGCTCCTGTATTTGTGCTTTATGAATCCACCTTGTTTTTGTTAATTGGGCGCTCTGATTTGCAGAAGAAAGGTCTCCAGTGGGGTTTATAATTTTTAATTCCCGAACGTTAGCGAACGAAGTATCGTAATCGAGTACGTCGACCGACTCTACTACGTCTTCTCAACCATTCATGACTCCAAGAGTATGAAGAAATAGGTGTCTCGTTTCCGTCCGTCCGGCTGTCTGTCTGCCTGTCTGTCTGCCTGTCTGCCTGCCTGCCTGTCTGCCTGCCTATCTGTCTGTCTGTCTGTCTGCCGTTTGCCAGGATTTTTTACTTTCCGAACGTAAGCTAAGAAATCGAGTCCATGGGGCGACTTGGCAAATTCATGTGTTTTCGGCGGTTCATGACCCCTGCAGTACAAAAAAATTGATCTCCCGTTTCCGTCTGTCTGTCAGTCCGTCCGTTTGTTCGTCTGTCGTCTGTCTGTCTGTCGTCTGTCTGTCGTCTGTCTGTCGTCTGTCTGTCTGTGTCGATTTTTATTAGACAAATAATCTCCGAAACTACTGGACCGGTTGTTGTCAAATTTTCTATGTATATTAGAAATATGTATCATGTAGATGGTTAAATGCTACCCAAAATTTGGATAATTATATCCCCCCAACAATTTGATGACATCATCTCCAAAATTTACAATATTAAATTTGTTTTTGGTTTTATAAATTTAGATGCTCCGGTACTCGTGGTGTATGAATCCGTGTCGAGTTTTTCACCCTAGACATCCAGACTTTTCGAAAAAAATCAAAATTGTATGAACATTTGGAATTAAACTTTGAAGCTGCAAAATATAATACTCTGAAATCTTGCCAACTTTTTAAAATTATCGTAATTATGCTAAATCGTTAATCAAAATTGATTCGTTTATCCCCTTACATATCTTTATTTTAACTTATAAGGGTTTTAAAAAATAAAATTTTCAAACTCAAATCTTGAAATTTTTTAAAATCTGGATTTATTGTATCATAAACTTCAGGGGCGAGGGAAGTTTTGTCGAAATAACCTTCGACCAATTATTTTTTAAATATTAGTATTATACTGCGCGTGTCGGAATTGACATGCGTGTCCTTGCTGGAATGTTGATAGGAACATTTTCCAATGAGAAAACTTACTAGAAACAAGTCACAGCCGTGCGCTTTATCAATGCATTCTTGTTTTTGAAACAATTGTGAATCGAATAACCGATCGGTGGAGAAGTGTATTTCCGTAACATAATGCGTTTGAATCAAACGCAGTGGCGGAAAATGGGTGATTAAAATATGATAAGCTACATTAATGGACTCAGAAAAACAAGCTGTACAAGTGTTTCTTTCTTACTTGGGATGTGTATTATTCCTAATATTTTTCTAAACAACTGGATAGTTTTTATATTTTTACCTCTTTATAGGTCCTCTTCTATGAAGAACTTAGAATTTCTTGGTTATTATTTTGTGGGTTTTTTTTGGTTTTTTTACTTTGTAAAAATATGAAAATAATAAAAAAAAATGCATAATTATTTTGAAAAAGTTCTCATACACATTCACACACAATTACATAACGGAGTTTTAAATCACTAATGTCCAGGAATTGGTTTAACGCATTTTTGACTTAAAAGTAATCCCACAAAATAATAGTGTTGGATCCGTGTCTTCCAATCTGTTCGGGAAAAAATCCTAATAGTGCCAAATATCAACGCATAATGAGGCGGCGCACCATCTTATTGCAAACACATTGTGTATCACATATCTGGATTTTCATCACTTTTCAACTGTTGTCACTCAGATTGTGGTTAACAAAGAGATTCGATTATATACTGTCCTCTACAATTACGGATTATATTTATTTATTCGCAATATTTTGTCAATCGTGTTTTTTATAATGCAAGCTGGCCGTTACTTACATGCGGATTTTCTTTTCTGTCAGTGATACATCCAGTTGTACCTGTTCTTGTACTGCGGGATATCCAGTACGCGAATAACTCTGTATTTTCGCTTTATTTAACTCACTCGTGATTTTATGTACAGTTGAATGGTATGTATATGTAGCATTAAATAATTCGCACACGTTGTTGTCAATATCACAATCAATAAATTTCTGTGTGCTCTTTCTTAGAGACATCGAAAAATGGCGCTAAAGACTTTTTTAACTCAAATAAATAACTTATTTGGTAAATTTTGACGGTTATATTATTTTTTGATTTGTGTAAATTTTTTGTCAAATTAATTAATCACGCTGTCGTGGCGTTTTTGTTGAATTTAATGTTTGAATTTTGTTTCGTACTTTTAGCAAACTTTAAGGACCTACTATAATGGCATAATAATGACAAGCAACAGAGTTTTACTTTTTTAACTTCTCTGAACGTAATAAAACGAGCCGTTCTAATAAATATAGAGATTTCAAAAGACGTTTGCTATTAAAATGATTAATGTTCATGAGATTCAGATTGCTATTCTAAAGCAATATTACGGTGAAGTTACATTTTAAGTCCCTTTTTCATGAATTATGACTTTTTATTCTTGGGAGTGAAATTAAAATGTAAGAAGAAAATGATGCCCATAGAATAGAGCTTTTCTTTCTTGGATGCTTTAAACTTAAATTAATGTAGGTAAATAAAAAGCGGAGAGCGCAGCTTTACTTGCCGCTGGAGCAGAGCATCTGCAATTTAAACCCATTTTTTAGCAAAAATTAAATTTTAAAGTTGTGGTTCATCATTAACCGTTAACCAAATTCAACAAATCAAATTTTTGGGACTAAGAGACGGGTTATTCGTGTCTACCGATTTTATTTGATTTTTTTTTTCTTGATTAAGGAAATTTGTATTTTCGCCTCTCGGTAAAGAAATAGAGTACTTTCGTTACTGAAACGAAATTAAATGCGTATTTTTCGTTGTAAGTGAATTTAATGTATAATATGTATAATATAAAAATAATCAATAAAAAATACTTTTATTTCGATAGTTTTGTAAATTATAGCGTTGAAAGTCGTAAAAGATTTCGGCATGGTAAATTTTATTTAAGTAGACACAAGAATTACTAACAAATTGTTAATACAAGTTCGCTATATTTTGGAGCCTGTTTTGAAAAATTACTGTACTGGTATGTATGATGGGAAAATTAAATTGTGTATTCAAGAATAAAATCCAAAAAAAGTTGCTTTTCCGTCCTTATTTTTAGTAATAATGAACACAACTCGACGGAAAATAGAGTTCTTAAAATTGCTGTAATTTCTTCAGAATTTTTGAACGTATGGTTTTCAAGATTAATGTTACATTTCGTTTTAAACATTTCAAATTCAGAAGTATTTTTTTAAATTAAAGTTAATAATCGTTAATATCCGACGCTTGAAAGGGCATAAGGAATCTATTGCATCTTTCAAAAGTTGTGTAACTCTGTATCACCAAAGTAAATAAAAATATAAAAGGTTGTATATGTCGTCTAAGAAGGTATTTGCGTTTTCCAATTTTTAACTCGTGTTATGAACACACCTTGTGCAAATGTTTCTCTCGAAAATTACTCACCATTATTGCAAGCAAACAAAATTTGTTTTTATAATTGTCCAAGCGTACATTAATTTTGGCAACATTAAAAGGAAATTTGAGAAACTAGTTCTATTTTTATACTTGCAGTAAGATCATTTTAATTTAAAAAAGGTGTGTACGTTTTTATATCCAGAGTTAAAACTTCGCTTTTGATAAATGGCTCATGGTCAACAACTTTTTTATTTTAATAAAAATATAGTGATCATTCTTTGGTCCAGGTGGAGTCTTTTTTATACAACATTTGCCGAAAGAGTGGTTTATCGTCGAGAACGTATTATCTAACTACACTGTGAGTTCAAAATAAAATCTAATTTTAAGTTGCATCTTATCTCTGCGTTAACCTGCAAAAAGTACTGAGAAGCCTTGACATTTATGCGTATATTAGATAAGAAGATCATATTTCTGTCTCGTACAGACACTAGGTTACATTGTTTCTGTTTTTATTGCAGTACCCATACAAGTGAAAAGAAAAACAATTTCCAAAAATGTACTTTCGAAAATGGAAACTGTAGTAGGTCCATTACAGCTCCTCAAGACTTGTAAGGACAATCAACATAGAATCAAGGTAAATAATTTAGAATATGTAATTTTTCATGCTAAATTTATTATTCAGTGCTATAATTTATCACTACTGCAATACATTAATTATTAATTTATTCACAATAAATGGTAATTGCAACTATGAATATGTAGGTAGGCTCGATTTTATTTATACTTCAACTTGCGAACGAGACAACGGAAGGAAATCCAAAATTCTGTCGTTTTAAACACGATATTGTTCTCTCTCAAGGCAACCCAGTCTCCGTGTAAGGTTTATTTATTTTACGTATTCTCGTTGAGTTTGTTGCCAAAATGCAAGCGTAAAAGTTCAAAATGATGTGGGTGTGTCAATGTTGTTGCAATTTTTAAAAGTTAATTTTTGGTTGTTGTGAATTCACCTTAACTGTCGTGAGTCGGATGCTACGGTTAATATTATTATGAAAACTTATTACTACTGTTGAAAATGAGTCCATTCCCTTTCCTATAGCCTGTTGTGTGATCAAATTTTAATTAAACACTACGGGTTCTGCACAGACTTCACATAATTAAATTTCTACTAAGGAATAATTAATGTGTATTAGAGACTACATTAATTCGAAGAGCGTACATTACTTCTCATATCATCTTACACAAATTTCCAAATCGTAACTTCCGAATCAACCGGTAATGACCTCAACCTCCAAAATTCTTGTCACAAGAATGAATCGCCTTAAATTTCCATAATTCAAATTAAACGAGTGGATCCAATTATGATTTCTAATTTGCGGCAAAACCGCAGTCGTCCCGGCCATTTAATTAGAAAGGATAACATAACACGGAATAAATTACAATGAACAAGTTATGTTGAATTGAATTTGGCCATGGCGTTGACCATGGTAGTCAACCGACCAGTAGTGCGACATTCCACCGTTACAAACGCACTCTCGTCGTCACTTTATCTGGCCACCTATCTCGTTTACTTGCAAGAAAATCTACTAACCTTCTGCCATGGTTTTCCTTGTTGAGCAATAGTAATGATATACAAGAGGCCATCTATGATTTTTATTGGCAGTTGTTGCCATTGACGTGGCTCTATTTGGTCATAGCTGTAATAATGCACACTTCACTCGCTACCGGAGTAGCGACAGTGTAAGGCGACGAAAAAACAATTCTGTTTGTTTTTGCATTTTTATTTTCTTTATCTTCAGGGACAGTCGAGTGACTTGTTCAGAATGGGATGCTACAAATATAAGTTCTTTAATGTCATACACGCAAAGAGCAAGGTTTTGTAACGCAGACTGTTTTACCCAATAGCCGAGGGTTAGCGGAACACGTGACTCATTACGTAGATAGAGTGCTAGAGCTCTATTGGTTTCAGATGGCATAGTTTTTAAATTGTCAACGTTTTACGATCTACGCTTTAATTAAAGTTGATGTGTTGTAGCAAGGTTTACACTAAAAGTGTAATGGGGAAGGCATTGTATATTAACAGATGTCAATTTGTATGCGTTGTGTGGCTACTAGTAAAGTTGGCAAGATAAAATTGAGTTAATTACGGCGACACATGGTATAAATATATAAAATTATTTCAATAAAAACTTAATATTTGTCAAATTCACAACTTTTTTTTCAAATTTTTAGTTCTAAAACGTGAGTTATAGACGACACTTTTGTAAAACGGAGCAACCATTTTTTTGGAATTTATAATTGCTCTTTAATTGCAAGCTTTTTTTTCGTACTAATTGTTATTATCATAGGTGTTATAAATAACTGCATTTACTGCACAGTTTCGTTATTTTTGACAAAACACTTTTTACTGTCTGCTATGACGTCCAGTTTTATTAAAGCTATTAAGATGAAAACTGCATATGAACGTGACTTGGGCCAAAACTACTATTTATCATGTTGAACAGTAATTAAATGTGACCTTAAGACATAAAACTTTTAAAATTTGGAAGGTTTTCAACTATAGTTTGAAAAATGCAAATGTCCAAGTTATTTCGTCACTATTCTTTTTGCGTCAAATGAAAATGTCTTGTTATTCTAATTTTTATTTTAATTTAAGGAAACGGTTTATTTTATTTAAAAAAATATGATGCTAGAAAAAATACGCATTTAGAGTTATTTATTGCCAGATTTTAAAGGGAAAACAACAATATCGTTTTTTTTTGTTGTCATTTCATGGAGAATAAATATAATGCAGTTTTTATATGTAAAAATAATAACAAAAAACCGACAAAAACAGTGTATAACAAATACAAGCTTCCTTCCCAACTAATTAGAATCCTCAAATATTTGCTTTGGATACGCTGTGAAGTGTATATTTTTAATTTGTTATTTGTATTTAAAAGATTACGAAAATGTTCGTTAATTTTGTAGTATTGCGGAGATATGTAGGTACATAGAAAATACTTTTTTTTTTATCAACTACCCTACACCAGACTATTGAAACGAACTGAAATATTTGGTGGTTGTGATCGATATAGAAGATTAATATTAGAATAAAATCTCTTAAGAATTCTCTAAAAGGAAGACCTGTCTAAAATAAACCAAATAACAAAAATCCTGTGTTTTAAATCTTTTCCTCAACGTTTCATGACTCCTAGTGCACGAAAAAGTAGCTTCCTCGTTTCTATCTGCCTGTCTGTCTGTCTGCCTGTGTGTTGTCTGTGTCAATTTTTATTGAAGAGATAATCTTATAAATTACCGGACGAATTTATTTAACAAATAATTCATCTGGTTTGTTTTTGTTTATTGTTTCCACCTTACTGGTTTCTGTTTTGATCTAAAATGGTTTTTTATTTAATTTTTTCATGTAAGGATTATCGTGTAGATATTTTTCATTAGTAAATTAGACGTCCAAATTTTGTCAAATAGCATACCGCTACACTTGTGATTTATGAATCCGTGTTCAGTTTGTACCACCCAGATTTTTGGAAAAAAAATGTATAGCGACATTTTACTATTTAACTTTGGGAACGAAAAATTAAATGGAAATTTCGCAGAATTTTTAAGGTTGCCGTAATCATGGTAAATCGTTACTGACACTTTACCTCCCCTTTCCCCTAAATTGGTGACGCCATCGCCCGAAAGATTCTGCTAAAATGTGCATAAAATTATGAATCTATGTTCTATATTTTCGGTTTATCATTTATTTTTTACTGTATAGAAGTTATCACAAAAAAATCGCAAAATCGAATTTTATAATTGTTCAAAAAAGCGGGATTTGTTGGGTTGTATGTACTTTCGACGAATTTTTTGATGTTTATGAGTGGCAGATGCAGATTTTTAAATACTTTGTTAACAGGTAAGGAAAGAATTTAATGTCACACGAATGTTTAATGTTATATGTGATTTTCTCAGAGGGTCTCCAACACTACCAAACCGATTACTCGAATGCTAAATAAACTGCTAACTAAAATTTGTCTCTAGTGTCAAATCTTGTGGCGTTTGTTGTGCTTATTTGACGAAAAAAGTTCTGTATAAAAAGAGTGACATCTTTTTATATTTGAAATTTTTTTACAGAAAAGTATTAATAATTGGCAAATACATATAAAGGGCACTGCATAAAAGAAAAATCAAATACACAATCAGACTTTAAACCTATGCAGTCGAAATTCAAGTGAATAGGCAGCAATAAAAAACACGATCCAAGATAGCCATGTAATTTTGATGTATCTGATAGAATTTTTGGTAGTTCATTTGAAAGTTTGAATTACAATTCGAGACAGACTTTCAAAAATCCATGATTTTCTTTGATCGTGTTTTTCATTATTCTCTTGCTACATAACTGAACAAACAGTGGTGAAAAACTGCGTTACGAAATTTCCGTAAATAATAGAGATATTAATTTTTAAAGATACGTGATGAAAAATTTCACAGAAGTACTAAAAAGAAGATAACGATAAATTGTTTAAAAGAACTGCTCTTGAGGTGTGGACAGATTATTTTTAAAATTTCATAACAGGAAGTCTGTTAAAAAACGGAGATATTATGTTCCGAAAATATATTGAAAATCATATAGGCCAAAGGCTTTCTTAAAGACAGCATTTTTAGTTCAAAATGTGATACCGAATCAATAACTATGACGACTAGGATGTTGAGGTTTTATCAAAAAAATAAACTGTAAAAATAAAACACCCATTATAATACATGTTTATAATTATAATTTTTCAATTTTCTTTGTTTTTCTTCCCTATCCTTCTATTTCTCTAATTGATATGTCCTTTTCCATATTGTCTGTCTATCTTGTTTGAATCTACGTTCCCTATGTTAATAAATAAGTGTAAAATGTTGTTTTAGTTCACGAGAAGAAAGAAGCTTTTTTAACGAGCCGTGACAATAAAATAATTTCATTGAACTATGTCGTGTAATCGATTTTTCATTTTTTAAATAAAGTCTATATCATTACTTGTTAAAATATTGTAAATATTAATTTGAAACAAAAATGTTACGAAAAGTTTGTTGACAAAAAATTATTGCCTTCAAAAAGTGACATTTTTTGTCCGGTAACTCACAATTTATACGAGACATATTTTAGGACGAGGCGAAGTAAAACTGAGTCCTGAATTTCGAACCGAGTTCTGTACCATGTATCATTTTGTAAAAAGAGGGCAATCAAAAACACTTTTGTCAAACATTTTCTCAAATTGACAATTCGTAAATTTTGTCGTTTTGATCTTTGTTGCATTTGTTTTAAAAGTGGACCTTGTACACAGCTTCAACTGCGACATGCGAGTGCGGCAGCAAGGAGTGACTTTAGTTATTTATTATAATAAACGTCTAGACACTCGTTTTTTAAACACTCGCTCCGCTCTGCTTAAGTAAACTCGTGTCTAAGACGTTTACGTTTTATATTTGATCATTTTTCATCGTCTACAGGTGTTGGAGCGCTATGGGGGGTGGAAAAGCTCAGCAGTAGCTGAAAATATGTAGAAAATTTTCTATAGCTAGAATGATTCAAGGAGGAGAAATTTTCTGGAAATTCCGCAACAAAGGCAAAATGCTAATTTCTACTCCTGCATCGATGACTATTCCAGGAGTTACTGTTTCCGGAAATTAAAATTGTACAATTAATATATTTATTAATAATAATTCGTCAAACCCAGCGGTGGAATAATTCTTGTTGTTGAGTTTTTGCTTACAAATAAAATTTGCCAAAATGATTTGGACGTTTTATTGTGTCAAAAATAACTCGGTAAGAGTTGCTTATATGATCCGATAATTTTGACTATAGGAGTATATTCAAACAACTAACAGATAAGACCTCTTGGAATGCGTGTTTTGTTTTTGTTCTACACAATTTATGTCCTTTCACAATATTTTAATTTATTAAGATTACCACCTATACTTTAATTTTGTAATTTGAAAGAACGAAAAAAATTAATAATAATGAAACACTTTGTTTATTTTGAATGTGAATTATTCATACAAATTCTAAGGGACACCGAAATAGATCGAAATAATACATAAACTTGATTTTAATTTCAAATATACTCTTGTACTGTACTTAAAAGCAGAGGTTCTGAATGGAACTAGCAGGTGACAATATTCTGCCTAGTTTTCGCGCTCCAGCTGCAATTTGCCATGTCACCCATATGACCAACTAACCCATGATGCAACAAAAACCTATTTACATCACGGCCATTTTTTACAGTATGTCTCAAATTAATTTCAGCAGCAAGTAATACTTGTTTACGCTTCAACGTACAATTTCGTTTGATTTATTGCTTACTCATGGCTAAACAGAGAATAATGATCGCAAGTTGATGCGGGCTTCATTATGATATCTTTAGATGGAAGGATTGCTTTTATTTAAAACAATTACCCTACATTGCGGAATTCAATTTTACCACATGGACGTAGCCGGTATGACCTCAGTTAATCGGTGCCGAATCTGGGCCAAGTTTACACTTTCTTTAATATTCACCTAAATGCCTACCAAATTTTGCAATCGGTATTGACATTGGCACTACATTCGTAGTTTTACTCAATCGAGCCGCGTAGCAGACATTAATTAAAGAGAAATGAGTTATATAATCGTGGGATTATCGCGCCTGCATAATACACGCCCTATCAGATCTGGTAAAATTTGTTACAGATGCCGGTTCTTGGTGCTGCATAAAGGTTAATTGAAGTTCCGCGAGCTGAATTCAGAAGTGGTGCAGGTTGGTCTATTCATGGTCGGTATCCGCCAATGGGACGAAACATGTTAACAACTTCCCGTACAATGGTTATCAATCATTTTCTGTTTCAATAGTACTGCATTTTGTTGGGATGGCAGTAATGCTTTAATTTGTGTTTGCATATTTCCGTCTCGATGGGGAGCGAGACGTAAATTCGCAATCTATGGAACTTCAGCATCCTTGTTGTGGCACACCTGATGACCGCGGTGTTGGTTAGGCGTGGTAACCTTGCAGTTCGGCCTCGTAGGGACCTCGTACCAAGGTCCGCGAAAGTGCGGCTTGCTATCGCTTTGTACCTTCGGTATTAGACCATGATTTTTAGACACGCGAAATATTTTTCGCAAAGGTTGTAGATAGATTTTCGGCTAAATTACTCTACTTTTGGAAGGAAAAATTTACACAAAAAATAAGAACTACTTGACTAGAAAGTAAAAGAAGTAACGTGGGACAAAAAGACAATGGTGGTGAGAATTTGAAATTTTGTAAAATTTTATCGCTAGTTTGTCAGAGATGAGTAATCACGTTATACCATCATCTTCTTCGCTCGAGTGGTATTTTTTACCGTAGTGTAAAGCGTAACTTTGGTTCTCCTTTATGCTACGCTATTATCTCTTAAAGGAACAACGAAGAAAAACAATAACGGTTATGATTGAATAATTATACAGTTCTTTGACGCAGCAGATGTTACTACTTTACGGTGTTGACTTGCGTTTTGTAGACGATAAATGGATACTTTCTCTGTTGTACAGAAAGTGAATGTGTAATCAATTTTCTAATATCCAAGCAAAAAGTTGCTTGGCTTAGCAATACATTTACTGTGTTGCAGGCTAATTCACTTTCGCTTGATTGTACGTCTTAAAAGTTTTGTAACGGATGAGTTTCTATAATACACGTGGTATTTCATCAAAAGTTTTTATTTTTCTAGGTGTGGACTAGACATAGTCATGGCATTCGAGGGTTTTGCATAGGATATATAGCAGCTTTTGATAAACATTGGAATCTGGCTTTAGAAGATGTAGAAGAAGTTTGGACCCGACCAAAACGACGGAAAGTACCGGCATTGAGTACGTACTTGAAGACACGGCTGCAAATAAGATCTTGGGTGAATTAACTTATTTTAAATTTTCAGATAGTGCGAAGGCAGATTTAAAAATTCAACCGAAGGTCTTACCACCACCAGTTACTATAGTAAAGTCAACAAAAAAGACGGAGACTTGCTCAAGGCATGTCAGTCAGCTTTTGCTACGAGGTGAACATATAGCATATATAGTCGTAATTCCAGATGAAACAAAGAGCTGAACTGATGAAATTTATTTTATAATAATTATTTCTTAATAAAACTGTAGCATTGCTAAGTACTATTCCACCTTATGTACTTCATCCTGATCCCCAATTTTTCCGAAGTAAAAATAAATTTAAAAAGAAAGTGTCCACATACAACAATCTGTTGAAGTTTTTCCACGTAAAAGCAGGTAATTCCCGGTTAGGGTTTCAGCACACCTTGAACACGAAAGTAAATACGGGTACGTTAAACAACTCAAAAATAAACTTATCTTTATAATTTCCACGAAAAGAAATGGAGTGGCTGTTAGGGTCACCTTGCAGTAAGGCTCTGTTTGATCTTCATTTTTATATAATTTAAGTTTGACAAGAGAACTGTCTCAAATTGAATATATTTAGAACGGAACTGAACAGGTTTCCACTTGGATGATTTTCTTTATCATATATTTATTTTAAGTTTCATTCTCGATGCATTTAGAAAACAAACAAGTTTCGCAAATATTTTAGATGAATCAAAATCTACACTGTTGAATAAATATGCCCGATAGAATTTACTGAGCTTAATTTCAAATGAGGAGCGGAGTTTTTTCGCAGCCATAAAAAAGTTGTTAAATTTTTGCACAATTATTTACTTTTAAAATGCATAACTACTACTTTTGTAAATTACGGTCTGCGCATTCATGCCTGAAATATCATACAAAATGATTAAAAGCATTGTGAAATTAGGTGGCTAATTTTGCTGAATGTAAATATTTAACAGATATTTTTGTAATTATGATACATTGTGAAAGTAACAATCATGAAGCGAAAAACACTTCTTATAAAACAAACCGTGTGTTGTCCTAATTATAATTACTCAACAATATGTAACAAATTGCGCCAGCTCACTTTGCAAACTTGCAAAAAGTCCACTTAGTCATCTTCGTCGTGTATTTACCACTTACTCAAAAATGGGTTAACAAAAAAGATCTGAAACTCTGTCACAGATACGTGCTTAACGTTGCTTGCTGGACTGTAGGTAATGATAAAAAGTAGAATTAAGTGAATCTTTTCAGTACCATTACTCACCGGAGTGTTAAAATAACACAATCATTCTTGAACCATTATTGCGGCCTTGCTTTACACCAACATTAAGATGAGAGTTGATTTGTTATATTCATGGTTAATGGTGTATGAACTTTTAACGTTAAAATGGCAAACACTTATCAAAACGGTCTTTAATCAGCACATTCGTAAAAGAGATCGAACGAGTTGTATTATAATCCTCATAAAAGTGAATTATCGGACGAATTTTGCGTTACCAGATACCAGCAATCACGAGGGCAATAGCATGTCAAAATTCGAAAAAATTTGTGACGCAATGTTGACGTTTAAAATTGCAAGCCAATTAATTACACGAGGAATTTTTGACCAGCAGTATCACTAAAATACAAAAAACATGAAAATATTTTTCGTGCGATTCTTTTATCGAGCGCTTTGCTATTTTTTACGCACAGAGGTCAACGTTTGAAAATGAAAAACAATTGCCTGGTAATATATTTATATTTGGAAGGAATGATGATATGATTAATGGAGAGAAGTGTATTCGACAAAATGCTTTTTAATTGTGAACGTTAACCTTTAACCACCGAAAAGATTCGGGACAATAACGTGCTGGTTGTAGTAGAACGGCACCTCGACAAAGTTTAATCAAAATGTGGGTTAGGAATCAGAAAGATTCATCAAATGGGTATTTGAATTTTATTGATGGTGTTTTAATTCCGCATAGCTTCAAACAATAGCGTTTAGACGGTTCAATGATCTGAGGATAATTAGCTATTTAACGTTGTAAACGAGAGATTAACTTCTCGTTGTAAAATCCCACATTCGTGGAGCGGATTCTCCGAACGTCATATAAAAAAATATAATACCTACATTCAGCGCTACGGTACTTCGTGGATAAAATTCAACAGCAGCGGATAACGGTACTAGTTGAAACAGAACTTGCACCAGTCTGAAACATTTATAGATGGAATCGTTTCAAGGCAAAGGATCCTCGTAAACAACAATGTAACCGAATAATTTGAAAACAGTAGACTTAAATTATTACCGAGTTATCATTATTCATGTTTGAATAGTCGGTCCGGTAGCATTGGATTTTTAAGTACTTTGCCATGCCCGCAGTACGACTGCCTTGAAACAGTGACGCATCTAAGCAGGAGTTAATGGACGTCAAGGTCCAAAGCTGAGAATACACAAGATCACAAACCCGTCGACTGCATAATCGCTAGGATTCATTAATAAAGATGCAGCGGTTTTGGCGACTGAAATGCGGAAATGCGTTTTTCGACCACTGAACCTTGATTCCATTGAGCATTTAAACACAAATGCTGCTTCGAGATGGGCGTGAACTATGGCCCAGTTGAAACAATGGGTTAGTGCGTACCAGAATTCTATTCTAAAAATACGCGCTTGTGTAAGTGTTGGACAACTCCAAACAAAAACTGCACATATTTTTGTCACTATTTTACTTAAGCGAAGTTCGTATCTTGATATACGCAGAGCAGATTCCGCTGTAACCTTTGACAGGCCATAATTCATTAACCAAACGCGCCGTAAATATTAAACCAAAATCTGTCAATGACTGTAATTTGGCCCGGCCAATGAAATTAAATAGTAAAAAATTGTACGAATTATATTTCTAATACCTAAACATCTTGAGATGTGAGTGACCACCCAAAACTGCAACCACTGATCTTCCATGTAAATGTGATGGTGTAAGTGGAGCTAAAGGAACCATCACAAATAACATATAATAAATGGTAAAATAGCTTAAGAAACGATGGGTTATAATAATTAAAAAGATTTTGTTTCTCTCAGTATGTCGTATCACCCATACACCCTTCTATACAAAGTCCAGCTAATGTAGTACGTATATGTAGTGTAAAAAGTATGTTCAACAGATTTGTCGCTATAGATAAATGAAGGGCTTTTCGATTAACAGGACTACGTTTTCAGATTGTGATATCTAAAGAATTCACAAGGTTTTTTCTTAGCATAATAACATGATTTTTTTTAGAAAGCTGTTAAATTTTTTGTTGGTGCCCTTTGACCAAAAGTTAATTAGTTCGTTGCACAACATATTTTTCTAGTCGATGTATCGAAATTATTATTTTAAATTAATTAGAAATCATTTGTTAATCACACTGCCAATGAACTGATAACCTTTGTTGAATTTAGCCACAAATTATCCATCCACCCACAATGAACATTTGATAAGATCATTTCCAGCATTTTAAAAGCGTTACTGAAAATAATTTACGATTTCCCAAGGTTGATCATGCAGACAACTCTCCCAGTTTTCATATTTCGACGATTAATTGCTTTACGCAACTCTTCCACTTTCCCATAAAAATAATTTAAACAAACTGCTTTAATTAAACGTTTGATATCTGCTAGCGAAACGTAAAAATACTCATCCGACCATAAAATACCAGAATAAAAGAGTGGGAAAATTTCGGCAATTTCTCGACTTTCGCTTGTGCGTGTCTTAGAGAAAGTGTTCGAAATAAAAAATGTATGCTTGTCTGGTGCTCGAAACCTGTTGAAAAAAATGTTTAAAGCTCGAAATGCAGTAATTTCACAGTTTTTTTATAATCTAGGAGCGACGGTCGGAACTATTTTCGACTAGATGATGGTTATTTTAGGGTCAGTTTTAAATAGTCCTGGCTGATTTAATTTTGATTGATTCCGTACGAATACAAAGGTAGTCCCGAAAAAGCACAAGGCTGGATGATGTAATGGGAAGCTTTGGGGATTGATGGGTTCACTAACCTCGGCCCTATATTTTTTAATGAAGTTTTCACGAATATTTTTTTGTGTTTGTATGTGTGCGGCATCTCACCTGAGATCCATGCAAGTATCTGTATCCAAAAAATAATCCGAAAAAGGTCACTGAAAAAAAACACTTCACTAAACACCACACACAATAGTCAGGCACAAAAGTGTAAGTGGTTCCTTATAATAAAAATAATTCCAGGCACAATTAGGTCAGATCATCTAAATTTAATGCAAAGAATCCTGCGATGGCACTTGGTCTCACAACACAGGTGCAAGAAGATGACTTAAGTCAGGTCACTAGTCCACCAAACTGCATCCGAAAAAATCACAACACAAATATTGTCACTGGCAATTAATCCAAAATGCACAGTATAGATAAAACGCGCACGAAGTACATACACACAGTCGGTGTGGAATCGCAAGTCGATAATACAATTTACCGATTTGTTTGTTTGGGTTAACGGTGAAATTCAAGTTTGGAACTGGCGCTCACCATCAGAGAGTGTGCGCAAGCCAAAGTCGAACGCGCACTAAACACTAAGTACCCGCGATATTCGCATTGCTTAGCTAAGTCAATCTAAGCAATCCCGGAGCGGCGAGTAGTGGCGAATCGGACCGAATGCAAGGTTGTATGCAGGCGAAACTCTTTGTTTAGAGGTTGTTGATGTTGTTAACATTTCTAATTTGACCATCGAACGGTTACTGAGGTAAAGACCTTAGATGGCTCAGGGTTCTGTTTCGGCGATTCGCCAATCTCGTCACACTTTTTAATTAATATTTTTAAGTGCTTACCCTTGATGGCCACAGGGTTTCACCTTCGTGCATGGAAAAAATTAATTGACGATTTTTTACGTAGGAAAAATTGGGGAATATGGTGGTCGAGTGCAGCAATTAATGCAACAATTTATCTTTCCTGATTAGAGAGCTGCATCAACTGCGTACATGTTGCACTGTGGGGAGACAAGTTATCAGTTAACAACTTTTATCGCAGTCAATATGGTTAATAGTGTAACTTTTGTGTGGGATTAATGCGAAAATAGTATAAATATTTTTTTAAAAACAGAAATCGGGCATAAAAGTGGCAGTGTATTCACAATTCGTCATAATATAGCTACATAATAATTATAAATTCATTTAGACCCTACTAATGAAAAGGAAAAGTGTGAATGTTTGGCACAGTTTATTATCAACAAAAAATTCAAATCAAGTCCTCAGATGAGTATTTAAGAATTGTCTCTGAAGCTATGGCAGGTTATATTTTTTGCGTGCTGTATGTTAGCAGAATATTTGGTGGGTGCACATTTGATATTTAGACAAGTAAAGATAGAAAGTAAGGAATAAAGCTCTAAAGAGAAAGACAGGTCTTTCACTTGTAATATGATTTACTATTTTTGTAACAAGTTTTTAATGGTGTCAGATATATGTTACTATTTCACCATTAAGTGTTTAAATATTTTTGCATGTTATCTTTATGTATATCATTTCTTTTGTTTCAGTTTTTGAAAGATATTAATGTTCTGTCTGTCGAAGATATTCTGAATAAGGAGATGCAGATAAAATTATTAGCTGAATTCAGTACAGTAGAAGATAAAAAAACATATTTGAGAACACGGAAGCACATAATAAATCAAAGTCCACAGCTAGAAAAAGTAAAAAATACTTTAGTTAAAAATTAAAAGCACAAACTTCGTTGTACGTTAGTCTGTTGCTCTAGGATGGATTGATATGAAATATTTTTTAATGATATTACGCGCTTTATCCATTTTGGAACTGGTAGATATTTTAACATTTGCAAAAACATCAGCCGGGGTTACGAAAGCAAAGCTTTTTGTTATTTTATAGTTGCATCCAATGAAATTAAATATTATGGGTACTTAATGAGCTGTGTAAAATTTTAATTTACAAATTGCATATAATTGTTGCAAATAATGGAAATAAACAATTATATTTATCATAATATTACGTTACATTTTGCCTTGATTTAAAAACAAACTCTTGAATTAATAGCGGGGACCTTTACATCGCCGTCATAAGAACGTAAACACTTTAATCTATAGCAAATGAAGCTTCTAATTCTGTATAGATAGTTGTTCTACATTAAGTTTGGGTCATCACATTTTACAGTTTACGTTGGAGACATCAGGTTTTTTCGCAATTTTCATAAAAAAATAATAAAAAGATATTAAAATGCCTACTTTCTGAGCGTAAGTTAAACAAGTATTGCAATAGGCTATGTCTTTTGTTTGTCTGTGTGGATATTTATTACAAGATTATCTCGAAACTATAGCATAAAATGTTATTTAAATTTCATAAAGTGACGTACGCCATACTTTGTACATACTGAATATGATATATATATTCTGAACGTCGAATTTTATAAACAACGCAAGAATAAAATCCTATTATGGAAAAACTCACTTGAAACATACCTGCACTTTAACAGTCTACACATATTTTATTTTAACTTGTAGTTTGTCATCAAAAAAATAAAATTCACAAGAAAAAAACTGATAATTCTTCGAAGAAGCTACTTTCATATTTTCTCGACGTTTCATGACCTCTAGAGTACAAAAAAATAGGTGGCCCGTTTTCATCGGTCTGTCATCTCTGTCTGTCCATATTTATTAGAAAGATAAGTTTCGATAATACTGAACCTCGTGTCAAATTTTATATGTGATTTAAGAATATCGTGAAGGTGGTAAAACGCTAACCAAAATTTATGTAATCATCCTCATCAATAATTTGATAACATCCTTTATCATATTACGTAGTAAAGGTTATTTAAATGTTATAAAATAATATAGTCTTGCATTCCGGTGGTTTATGAATCCGCCTTGATTTTAATTACAATGACTTATTCATTATTATTATTTCATGTAGCCGATGCTCATGTATCAAATACCATGTATACGAGTTGGTTAATTAGCAGATTGTTTTCATTACATTCTTGTTGATTTTTATACTGTGACTGGTATTATCCATTTTTTGGTACTTATCATAATGTAAATAAAAATGCAAAATCGAATTTTATAATTTTTCGAAAAAAAAATTGATTTGTTCGATTGTGTTGCGTTTAGATAACTGTACACTAATTTTTTATGTTATTTAGCAAATACTGAAAGTGACAGGTACATTTATTCCCACCAAAAAGTTAACGTCTTTTCTAAAAAAAATGGTCTGAGGTTATTTAGACACAACTTTCCTCGTCCCTGAATTACAATAAATCATATTTTCTGAAACATTAGAAAATTTATTTTGCGAATTTTATTTTGTTTGATAACTCATGTATTTAATAGATTGTTTCATTTATTTTATTTTTTGGGGTCATCTGTATAAGTAACTCTGAAAAATATGAATGGATTGATAAACTGCAAGTATAAATTCATTACATTTTGCGTGTTTTAGATAGTATTTATCGAAAAAATTGAAATGAAATGACGTCACTAAATTTTTGGGAGGGGACAAACCGATAAATTTGATAAACGATTTATCAAGCTTACGATAACCTTAAAACGTTTGTAAGATTTCAGAGCATTCAGTTTTGGAATGGGAAAATGTTATTTATTTTTTTTTTTTCAAAGATCTGCATGTCCAGGGTAAACACTCGACAAGGATTCATAATGCGCAAATGCAGGAGTATCTAGTTTTATAAAAATGAAATAATATTTATTATTATAAATATTGGAGATTACGCCATCCCATTGTTGGTGTGGGTGATTAGACAAATTTCGGTTAGTGTTTTATCATCTGCATACGTATAAAATGTGACGACAATCGGTCCGGTAGTTTCGAAGTTTGCGTGCGGATGGAACCCTATTAAAATATGTACTTCCTTAGCTTACGCTCGGGAAGTAAAACATACAATGGATGCAATAATGGTTATGTTACAGCTGCAATACGGTAAATATGGAATTTTTTAAACGTGACTATATATACAAAACATAAACAGAAACACAATAATATAAACAAATGTATAATTTCATATTTTTTTATATTTAGTTTTTTAGTTCTTCGAATAACACTGGTATCCAATTTATTTTGTCTAAAGTTTACAGTGTCTATCGTCTTCTGGAAATTTTTTGACGGATAAATCACCGAAACTATCGAATCGATTACTCTAAAATTTTAATTTTAGGTGCACCTTAAAATTATTATTGTTCAAACAGTAAAATGTTGAACAAGACTGGTCCAGTTCCCACAAAAATGACCCTGTCATCTAAAAGTCACTGGTGGCTCGTGACCTGTTGAAATGTGGGGACACAATTTGATTGATAAGTTAAATATGAAAGATATAAAACAGGCTGTTATTACCAATTAATAGACGAAATTATTGACGGAAATAATACACAAAGTACTTGTCCACATACCTTTGGTTTTAACTCATTACTAAAGAGATGCAGTTTTAGGCCATGCGACTCCCACCACTTTCCTTCAGTAGCGCGCGATGTTATTGTTTCTCTTAGCCCATCGCTGCATGTTCAGTCGCGCGACCCTGGACTGGCAAGGTTAATGAGAAGTGGGAGAAATAATTGAACTATTTTTACCCGTCTCTACTCATTACTGAGGAGACACATAAAGCAAAACAATTTATTATTTTTTTGATAACCGCACATCTACAAAAATTTATCATACGTGTTATATCTATTAAAATATCTATGAAAGTCTCTCGTTTTGCAATGAACATTTTTTTATTAATAAATGGAGACTGCCTTTTTTTAAATTTTTCAATTTTATCGTCGATTTTTTATTAACTAGTCAACTGAATTCTTTATTTTTATTTAAAATTAAACAATTTCACTCGCGTAGAATGAAAATGAACTCCCGAGTTGAATTACTGTTAGCGGTCACTCTTTCAAATGTGACCTGATTCCAGCCAAATACAGCGACTAGAGGTGCGGTTTCCATGGCAACGGAGTAAACAAAACGTCTAAATGAGTCATGATTTGGTCTCCACTTTTATCGAAACCGACGATATATCCAAGACACAACATTTTTAGATGTAAGTTTTGATACATTTGATACAAATGGGGCGAGATAAAAAAATTAGTTTTGATAATTATGACACAAATTTCCGGATAATTTTTTAAATATTGAAAATTTCTGTTTTGGTATGTCCAGTGTGTTTGTAGACGTTGTAATTTGGGAGGGGGTGGGGGGGTACGTGTTAAAGGTGGTTTCTTGGTGCGGACAATTGTGTTGATTTTGATATTTACAACACCTATTTGAATTTCAAAAATTTTGAATTAAAAAAAATTAAAAATATTACTAAAAGTCTAAACTAAAACTTTAAACTTTAATTCAATGATCTGTAGCATTTATTATCATTTTGTAGTCGTATGTAAATCTACATATTATAAAAATGTAGATCAAAAAGCATGCTATGTTGTGCATTTAAAACAAATTTAAACAATATTTCAATACGACGTCATCAGTTCTTTTGAAGAGATAAACAAACTTTAGTTACTGGGTTAACAACAGAATGTAATCGTTGCTCTGGTTTCGGAGGTTATCTATGCAATAAAA